AGGCCGGGCTGGGCTGTGGGAGCAGGCGGTGGGCATTCAGCGGGACAGGACCGCCCAGGGCCCCTACTCACATTGCAGCCCCATTGTTGCCTCCGATGTAGAAGAAGGGTCCCGGCCGCGTGCTGTGGGGCGATGGCTTCCCGTCCCCCAGCAGGAGCCCCTCCAGGAGGGCAGCTGGGGGCCCGGTGGCATCAGTGTCATCCGAGTCTGCAGGCGGGTGGCTGGTCAGGAGCCCAGGGGGTCCGGGCGTGGCGGAGACTCTTCCTGCCTCCTCCAGGTCCGGCCCACCGTGCCCACCTGTGTCATGGTCTGGCTGGCTTGGCTGACACGGGAGTCCCTCCTCCTGGCTGCTCCCCATTGGCCTCTCATGGGCTGGGCCTGTGAACAGGGTGGGGTCCCACCCGGGTGGCTGCGGGAGCTGTCCACTCAGCCCAGACATGGCTCAGTCAGTTCGCTCCCAGCCCATTTCTCCAAGACCCTGGACAACCCCCCTGGCCCATTTGGGGCTCAAGTTCAGCCCGAGCTCCGACCCAACCAGGTGGCCTAGGGACTCTTACACCTGGGGAGGGGCTGCGACCACCCTCCAGGGCCAGCCTTCCTGCCAGGGTGGGGAGCTCGGAGCAGGGGGCAGGGAGGTCGCCCCCCCACCCTCCTCACCAACAGAGCAGTGGCCTGGTGCAGGGCAGGGGCCAGGCTGTGAGGCCAGTGCTGGGTGCAGACGTGACACAGGGATGGTCCCAGGAGGGCAGGGGTCACAATGTCCATGATGATGTCACGGGTGACCCAAGGGGCCATTGTCAGGCAGGGGAGATGAGAGGCTGCCCTTCTGGGAACAGGCAATGCTGCCCAGCGGCTGCCCATGGGGGTGGTGCCAGCCAGGCAGAACCCTGGGCCGCGGAGCGCGCATCTCCCCTCTGTGCCTGTAGAGCCCGGCGCCCACAGCTGGGCCTTTTCTCGGAGCAGCAGGGCGTGGCCGTGTGTGGGTCCTGCCCCTGCCCCATGAGACCGACTGACTTCCTTGGGGATGGAAGTCCGTCCCAGGGAGGCCTCGGCTTTGGAGAGGAAGGAGGCCACTCAGGGCTGCTCTATTCACCTGGGACTCGAGCCCGAGGCCGCCGCTGGATCCTTGGTCTCTTGCCCCTCTTGGAGCCGGCTTGGGTCCGAGTGGGCGGTCCCCGGCGATGGAAGAACTGGGTGCAGCTGTGGGCCATTGGCCGGGGGGCGCCAGGCCGAGGGCCCTGCAGGGAAGATGCTGCTTTGACCCTCCTGTGGGAACTTTGGGCAGCCCGAGGCCCCAGCACTTGGATGGAGCAAGCAGTCGGGCCCACCCTGCCCAGGAAAGGGCGCCTCCCAGGGCCGTGGACTTGAGCCTGTGTAGGTGGCTGGCTCCTGCCTCCGTGGCAGCCGTGGGGCTTGGCGCCGTGGGGGGCCGAGGCTGTCTCTGCACCCTGTCTCTGCCGGGCGAGTCCTCCCCGGCCGGAGCTGCTCCTCAGGCGTGGGCGAGCTCGGCCTGGGTACCAGCTGGAAGGAAGGACAGCGTCAGGCCTGCCGGGTGAGGCGCCTGCCTGAAGAGTGGAGGGTGGAAGGACTCCCTGGCCCGAGCAGGGGTCTCCTCTGTCTCCGCTGCTGATCCCAGAGGCCAGTTGTGGGCTGTGTGCAGCCACCTGGTACCTGCCATCTGGGTTCCTCTGCGGCCGCCCCCGGGCGCCAGGCCCGACCCCCAGGACACTGTCCCCAGCACCTTCCTGTGTTGTGACTCAAGAACATCTCAGGAATTTTCAGCCAGTTCCTTGACAGATCCTGCTACCGCTGTCACCAGCAAACAAAGCCATCTTGGGGCTACTTGGGAGCTGAGGCCTTTTTTTTTGTTTGAGGCGGAGTCTCGCTCTCCCAGGCTGCAGTGCAATGGCGCGATCTCGGCCCACTGCAACCTCTTCCTCCCGGGTTCAAGCGATTCTCCTGCCTCAGCCTCCCGGCTTGCTGGGACTACAGGCGCACACCACCACGTCCGGCTAATTTTTTGTATTTTTAGTAGAGACAGGGTTTCTCCATGTTGGTCAGGCTGGTCTCAAACTTCTGACTTCAGATGATCCACCCGCCTCGGCTTCTAAAAGTGCTGGGACAACAGGTGTGAGCCACCGCGCGTGGCTTAGGTGAGGACTTTCAAGGGTTTGAAGGAACTCGCCCAGGAGACAGGGGAGCACACGGCAGTGGAGGCTCTGAGGCTAGAGAAGGCTGGAGCAGGCCTCAAGCTCCAGGCTGGGGGCAGAGCTCTCCAAAGGCAGCCCCTGCGGCTGACCTGACCTGCAGAGATGGCGGCATCGCTCTCGGCCGCATGAGGCCTTTGTGTCTGCCCCTCCCTGCCCCACCTGAGTGACAGGAGGGAAGGAGACAACGAGGAAGCCCACAGGCAGGGGAAGGCGGGTAAACCGAGGCAGCCATTCGCACGATGACCCAGCTGGGTGGGGCCACTGGGGCCCGTCCTGGGAAAGGAGCAGAACACAGGCTGGGCCCCGCACCTGTGGCCGGGAGAGCCTCACGCCCTCTTCCTAGGGTGGGCTGGGCAAGAATGGAAGAAGTTGGGAGCCCTGAGACCCCTCCCCACTCAGAACAGGAGGACTTTTGGAGGAGGCTGGACCCTGCGCTGACATGGAACAGGCACGTGCGTACGATACTCTGCCTTCAATGGGAGACCTCAGCTCCTTCTCATGGGTTCTCAGCACCCAGGAGTCCTGCTGGGGAAGGGGGTCCTCTGAAGTTCTGACTCACAACCAAAGCGGCTGCCCAGTCCCGACAGCATCATCAGAGGGACTCCCAGGTGTGAACGAGAATGACAGGTCTACACACGCACACACACACGCACAGACACGTCTACACACACGTCTACACAGACACACACCTACAGACACACACGTCTACACAGACACACCTGCACACAGACACCTACACACACAGGTCTACACGCACATACCTATACACACACACCTACACACAGACACACACCTACACACACAGACATGTCTACACACACGCACAGATGCACACACACCTACACACACATGCACAGACACAGACCCATCTACACACGTGCACAAGCACACCTACACACAGACACACGTCTACACACACATGCACACACACAGACACGTCTACACAGGCACCCACACACACACGCTGACAGACACACAGACGCGCAGACACACACAGAGGAAGAGGAAAGGGGAGAAACGGAAACAAGCCCACCTGGAGAAGGCGGGGGTGGTGGAGACAGGACCCCTCAGAGAGCCGCGTGCTTTTAAAGCAAAGGCATAGAGAATACAAAAGAGCTGATGGGAATTAAAAATGCAACACCAGGGTTGGG